ATCAGACATTGTATTGCAATGGACAAATCTGTTTCAAAAGAACTCTTTAAAGTGTTAAAGAGTAAAGATGTCACTTTGAAGAGTGAGGTGATCCTAACCCAAGCCATGGTATTTCCAATTACCTCATATGCATGTGAAAACTGCGCAATGAATAAGGAAGGCCAAAGAAGACTGAAGCCTTTGAATTGTGGTGTTGGCAAAGACTTCTGAAAATACCATGGACTGCCAGAAGAACAACAAATCTGTCCTGGAAAAGTGCAGCCAGAATGCTCCTCGAAAGTGAGCCTGGCCAGACTTCATCTCACCGACTTTGGTCATGTTGTCAGAAGGGGCCATTCCCTGGAGAAGGACATCATGCTTCGTAAAGTAGAAGGTGAGCGAAAAGGTGAAGACCCTCAAAGAGGTGGATGGACACAGTGGCTGCAACAATGGGCTCAAGTATAGCAAGGATTGTGAGGATAGCGCAAGACAGGCAGTGTTTCCTTCTGTCGCACACAGGGTTGCTATGAGTTGGAACTGACAAAAGTGCACCTAACAACACTACAGTTGTTAATTCTCTCACTACATTTACCTCGACACCTTTACTTCAGTCTTAGCTGTGTGGCTAGACACCTAAAGCTCCTTCCTAGTTTAAAAGACATGTATGAGAAGACTATGAAGGACAATGTCTTTGGAAAAATAAATAAGAAAAAAATTGTACTTGTTTGAACGTGGCAGAGTAAGTCTGGAACTTCTCAGAGCTCATTAAAAACAAGGAGAACAATAATAGAAATACAGACTCTATCTTCAAAGACTATCCAGATCCCCTACCCCCACCATACACAAACTAGATGGAAGGGCTTCCAGAATAGCGGACATCAAATAAGAGTGTCACAAGAAGCAGAGAAAGGAAATCCATGACTGCAGTGGAGCTCAAGGTCTGCCATTTTGTAGAGCTGCAGCTCCACGGCTTGAACCCAGCCTCCTGATTACACAAGGGAGAGATTGATATTTCCCTGATCATACAGACCAAAGAGAATAGGGTGCTATCTTATAATATGATGAGGTATGGGGGACCTGCATTCTTGATATTGCTGCTGTCCTTATGAGTTTTCCCCCAATAAATGCTCTCTCAGCAGGTCTGATGTATATGTAATTGGGCTATTTGCCCTTGTCTGGTGGTGTGGGGAAATTGGTCCTCCGAGAGTGCGTCAGTGGAATGTAAGTTGATATAACGTCAAAGGAAAAAGGGGAATTTGACAATACCTTTCAAAATTATAAATGTGCTTTGCCTTTTGCCTGGTAATTCCTTCAGGAATCTATCTAAGATATATATATATATCTCACTATGAGTCGGGGCTGACTCAATGGCAAATAACAACAACAACAACAACAAATATATCTTGGATAGATTGCTGAAGGAACTATATATATATATATATATTCATGTGAAGAATAATATATGTATGAGGTTATTTGTTGCAGTATTATTTGTGATAGCAAAAAGAAAAATTTGAAAATAACCTACTATGAGTCGGGGCCGACTCGACGGCACATAACAACAACAACAACAACAATTCATTATTAGAAGGCTAGTTAAACTAACTGTGGTACATCCTTACAAGGGAATACTATGAAACTGTGGGTTAGAACAAAACAGTTCTCTCTGTGCTGATTTGAAAAATCTCGAAGTTATGTTACTAAGGGTAAATTACAAGTAATAGAATGAAGTATAGTACACTTAGGATTTCATTTAAAAGGAAGGAAAGGATATACACAAATGTAAATATAAATATGTAAATAGATAGTTTTGTTTGTAAATGTATATCCAAAGGGATACTCAAGAAATTGGAAACATTGATTCCTTCTGAGGAGGATAACTGCATGGATTGGGAACAGGAAGAGAGAATGAACGAATTAATAACAAATCAGAAAAACAAAAGATATTAAATAAACTTTTTAAAAGAATCTATAGACTGACATCTGAGAGATGCCATCTAAGAGCAACTCATGAAAATAAACAGTAATTAGAAAGGATTATAACTATAGATTGAACATGGAGATGGCAGCATTTCTTTGTTTTGTGTGAGATCGCCATGAGTCAGAGCTGACTCAATGGCATTTAACAACAGAAATGTAATCATAGACACAGGAAGAAAATTAAATTTTAAGAGAATACTTCCCATAAATCTCTGTTATTTACGGGAACATTTCAAAAGAGTAGGGATGATTATAGAAAAATAAAAATGAACAAAATAAATTCAATAACAATCCCCAAACCTAAATAAAATAAAAACATGGGGAAAAGTAAATATATATATATATTTGTCAGAGAAATAATTACCCTCGCAACAAGCTCTAGGCTCATAAACCTGTTGAAAGAAGTTTTGTTTAAACTTCAATGAGTAGACCATGTTTGTGCTGTGAAAACATTCCTGTTGCACAGAATGCAACATCCCAATGCTTTTTTAAAATAAATTTAACAGACATCTACCCCTAAAACCTAGAACTTGTAGGAAGAAAAGCATATCATTAGAGAACCTTCTTTCTATAGAAATAAAAACATAACATACAACTGCAGGAAATAAAATATCGTCAGAATATTCCAAAGAATAATCCACCATCATTAAGGAGAGCTCTTATAAAAAATCATGGATGATTTAATATAAGTAAATGTATTTTATATATACATCAGAACAATGGATAAAATATAGGAAAAATATTCCCTAAAAGGTATTTTAGAGACTAAGATCCATTCTTGATTTAAGAGAACAAAACAACTATAACTATCTAGGAATAGAAGGATGACACTATCATGTTGTTGTTGTTGTTGTTATGTGCCGTCGAGTTGGCCCCGACTCATAGCGACCCCTCCTTGGGTTTCCGAGGCAGTATCACTACGGAAGTAGCATATACTCTTTAATTAAAAATAACAGATTATCCAATGAAAACCAAGAGTAAAAGAAAGACACTCAACATTATATCTGTTTTTAAAAAATCATTTTTCTAGTTTCATTAGTGAAATCACTAAATCAAGAAATAGAAAAATGAAGTTTATACATTGAGAAGGAAGAGAAAAAGGCTATTCAATTGTCTATATGAAAAATAAATTGAGAAATAGCTAAGAAAACTAAAGTAGTGAGATAAAAAGCAAATATACAAATATTCATAGCTTCTTTATATGTCATCAGCTTATACTGATGAAAACACAATGAAAAAATATGTTTAAAAAACCCTTTAAAAATAAAGTTGTTATGATATAATGTTATGTGAGTAAAGTAGGCAGCAACTCTCTATATATACAATTTTATTTTAATACTAATGACTAAATGCACACATAGAAATGAACAAAGATATAGAAAGAAAGAAAAAGAACCAGAGAGAGAAAAGTGAAACAATACTAAAAGGAACTATCAAACTTTATCAGTGGTTTGGGTAGGTTTTATTGGTTTGGGTGGGTTTCTTTTTTCCCCTACTATGCGCGTCTACTTTCCAAATTGCCTACAATTAATACAGATTACTTTTTATAATAT